ATTCCAACCAGGTATGGTAAGACAAGCCCCTGCGTGCTCCACCTCCCCATATCATTGCCCAAGTCTCTGCAAAACAGTGCATGAACAAGGAAGAATCACAGTTTCTGCTCTGTTAGGTTCTGATGAGTCAGTCTGAAGGCGAGTATACCCAGATAACCATGGTATGATTTACTGTGAGATTTCACAGCAACCTTGTGGTGCATGACTTCACGTTGAGGACAGTAGTTCCCTGCTCAAGCAGCATGTCAGAATCACCTGAGGACTTTTGAGAAATAGCAATGCCTTGGGTTCCAAGAACAGCCAGCCAAGACAAAGTCACTCTTAGCAGGAGGCATAGCACATAGTGGGTCTTAAAAGCGCTCAGAAACTTCTCCAGAATAGCTATTACTGGGAACTGCTGGTCCAGACTTCAGGAATCTGAATCCTGGGAATCTAATTAAGATGCATTCTAGCATCAGACCTCGCTCCCAACACTCCTTCTACTTCAAGGAGGGGGACTGGCAGCAAAAGTTCATCTGAACAAACAGCTGAGAGAGGTTGAATCAGGATCTGAGACCATTCATCAGTGTTCCCATTGCACTGTTTTCCAGCTCTCCCATCCTTGGGCAACTAGACTCTGTAGGACCAGAATCTGTTGGACGTGGGGTGGGGGTTGGAGAGAACCAGGATAATTTTTCCTATTTGCTAAGCAAAAAGGAAAGCATTTCAAACTCACTTAGCTCCAGCTCCTCTAAGTCTACCCCATTCTCTGTATTGTAATCCTAAGTTTGGAATCTCTCCCTGGAACTTATCTCCCTTCCCAGGAGGACAAGGTCACTGTGTCATCTACAAGCTGACTGGAGGCTCACACACAGTATTTTCTCCAGGGCTCTACTAAAGGCTGAACCTTTTCCCCATAGCCTGGTGACATTTTCTATAATTAACTACCCTTTGTGCAAGGCACATCCAAGCCAAGTCAAGTTCCAACATGGCACTTTCAGCTAACAATGGTAGCAAAGCTCAGTGTGCCCACATCCCTTTGGCATAGCATGCTGCTCTGCACAGAACCGGCAGCCGGAGGGATTCACCACGTTCATCTTTAGAGCTCCCACTTCCAGTCATGATGTGGGGTTTTTGTGTGTTAAGGTCAGGACTTGATATCCAGCCAGAGGACTGGGCTCTTTGCAAACTCATAGGGAAGAACTGGTGGTTAGTTATGGGGAATGCAGGGTTGGAATAAGGAACCCTAATCTCTTTTTTTCTTCTCCCAGTTAAAGAAAAATGGCACACATTTGACATGTTTGTAATGACTGTAATTACTACACTATTACCATCTTTTGATACAAATCCTCCATCCTTTGCATTTTGAAGAAAAATGATAAGTTAAGTGGTGGCTCACAACTATAATGTCAACCCTCAGGAGGCTGAGGCAGGAAGATAGGGAGTTTGAGGCCAACGTGGGAAACAAGGTAAGGAGAAGGGAGAGGAGGGGAAAGGAGGGGAGAGAAGGGGAGAAAAATGCCTGTAAATTCATTTTGCTCAGCTGACAGTGGTTCTCTCTGCACTTTGAAATGTCATTCAGAAGCAAAAAACCTACTAGGTATTGATAACATGTGCTACTTTCAATGTATAAACTGGCTTCGTAAAAGTTCTGAAAAGGCCTATAGTACACAAGCCCATCCAACTGTTTAAACAAGCTTTGGCTATTCATTTAGTTAGCCCTCTCTGAACCAAGGACTGTCCTAGGTCCCAAGAACACAACAATGCACACTCCTTGATCTCTGTATTTCATTCTAGTAAAGTGACTGATTTGTACAATCACCTGTAGTCAGGTAAAAGGTCCATGGTGATAAGTAGAGAAGGGTAAAGGGATGAAGGCCAGGGGCTCTGGGACAGAATGATGCTGAACAGGTATGAAGAGAAAGAGGGCTCTTCTGGTTTGAATATGCAATGTCCCTCACACAGGCTCATTTGGAGCACAGCTGGTGGTTCTATTTTGGGAGGGAGTAGAAACATCAGGAGGTGGTTCCTACTAGAAGCGGGTCACTGAGGCGTGTCCTTGTGATATATCTCACCCTGGCACCTTGCTATATGTCTTTCTATGCATCTAGTCTCCCACAGGGGAAAAGCTTTCTCAAATGTTCCTGCTGCTACCATGCCCTAGCCAAATGCAAGGGGGCCAACAACCATGGACTGAACCCTCTAAGACCTTGAGCCAAGAATACATTTTTTCTCCCTCTAAGTTGTTTTTGTCAAGTATTTGGTCATGTTGATGAAAAATCTGACTAATACAAGAACAAACAATGTAGGGTCCTGGGATCGACCATGGTCTGGGTTCTAGGATTCAGAAGGCTACAAGGCGGTGTCCCTTTTATCATGTGAACAAGAGGAGAATGAAGGGACCAAGTAAACAGAGTTGTCAATGGTTCTCTGCTGAGCTGGAAACCTCTGGTCCCCAGACACATCACATACATATGCTGTGCATCACGGGTCCAGTACCCAACTTTCCAAACCCATCCACACACTCTAACAGAAATGTCATACAAAACAACTTGGAACTTAGACTGTGGGTAAAAAGAGAACAGACCGTCCGACTAGTAGGATGGGAGGCTTGTCATGCTCTCTGAATTACACTAATCAATAAGATTATTAAATTCTAATTTAATAAAGCAAAGCATGTCATGGGAATTTGTAATATAAAGTTCTATCATCTATCAGTGAGATTTTTAAAAATTCATAGTAAAGATTTCTCTCAATCTAAATTCAGAGCTATCCTTTGTCTTCTCTGGGGCTATCTTTCCAATCTACTATCCCAGAATGACTGGTGATCCTTGATTAGCAGAATGAAAACACATTCAGCTCTACCTAGTGAGGAATGAGACTACAGTCAAGACAAATTCTCACAAGTAACAGTAAGAAAGTGGAGTGAACACCTGCGTGATGCATGCCGAACATAGATCTTAGCAGGCAACAACTCAATCCCAGCCTCAGTGTGCACTGATTGTTATATTTAAGGAAACATTTCCGAGTGAACATGTACATATTCCTACTCATAGTTTTAAGCTCCCTAAAATCTCTACATAAGCAAAAAAGGAGGCAGTAAGTATATTGAAAAAAATACTAAGTGGCTGGACCTGGAATACTTGGTAAGCTCACCTTCTCCATCACATACCTTGAGGACTACAAGTGAGGAAGACTGTCTCATTTCTGTACTCACTCTTCCCTGGCCAAGGAGTTCCTCTTGTCACTGTATAAAACAACTAACAATAACAATCAGCATTATTAAAAGTTGGTAGGTTTATATTTATGAAATAGTGAGCCATTCTGAGCTTGACTATATTTTGCAAAACAGGTTTCTTATAGAATTCTGCAGGTGACATTGGATTTGTTTTACTCATTTATCAATACTCATTTACCAAGATATACTCAACATTTACTCATTTACAAGAGCTTTCAATGTAGCTTGGTATGAAAAAAATGAAAATTTATTTGCAGTGAAGACAACCCAATCCTACTCTACCTGTCTTGTGTTTGATATTGGGTAAAAGATTCTGATATTAAATGATCACTTATTCCAATGAGAGATGGTATCTGATTTTTTTTTATTCCTTCAAGCTTTAGCATTTGATCACCTGCTAGACACTATAGACAAATGTCATGATGAATGAAAAATTGAAGAGAAGCCAAATTTATGAAATCACAGAGCTCACAGACTAGTGAACTGGCAAAATAAAAATACAATTGCTTTTATTCTAAAAACTTGATGCCAACATTAAAAACAAGTCCAAGCTGCATAGCTTAAATGATTGCATGTTTATAAGACTGCATGAAGAGAAAACAGACTTGCTTAAGTTTTGCAGTCTGTAATGTTCTACCTTTCTTTCTCACATCTTTTTTTATTGTGTAACCTTTGGAAAATGATTTGAATATAACTGCATATGGCCCAGAATATTCACACTTCTTTCTCCTGTTAACTCTAGCCAACACCCTTTTCATTTCAGTGGAGAGAATTTTTTCTCTCAGGGATTACAGATTCTATTCTTCAGGGTCAAGAGCAAGGATGGAAAGACTTTTCTTTCCAGCCTTAAGTTCTAATTCTGAACCAAGACAAATTATGTTCTAATTGACCTGGAAGAAAAAATCACTTCTCCCTTTGCGTCTTTTCTTTTTAACCCAATCACATAAAAACATTCAAATAGGTAGTTGATGACCAGCGAGGCAGAGCTAAAACCTGGTTGCCTAATTCCTAATAATGCCTTAGCCATTTCTAGTGGTAGTTAAAATGATCAATGTAACACACCCAACTCCTTATGGCTCAAAGCCTCAGACTTTGGGGTTTTCAGACAAATGAACCTTTATGGCAGTTCCCGCCAGCCTAGCTCCTCAGAACCTGGCTGTGCCACTTCCTATCCACTGCACAGCCCTTGCCGGCCTGTGGCAGACTTGCACACAACCAGACAGCTTTTTGGAAACCCTGGCTCATCTTCCCGGCCAGAAGTGCAGGAATGAATGATGCCTCGACTTCCAACTTCTGACAGGCGTCTGGGCTTGGCAAGCAGAGGCTGGAAGCGCTCAAGCCTGGCTGACACGGACCCTGCATTTCCACCCCGGCTATGCCCGGACGCCCCCCGACGTTGGGGTTCAACTGGACACCCCGGGAAGGTTGCACAGGGCTCCCCATCTGCCCTCTCTTTGCATGCCCCCCTGGACCCAAGTGGAACATTCTCCCCTCTTTCCGCTCCCCACCCCCCCCAAAGCCAAACGCAAATTCTCAGCCTAGGATGGACGAAACCACGGGTGGTCCCCGCGCACCCGCCTCGTTGCATAATTGATGGGGGCTCTCCCCGGGGGACCCCTGCTTTAGGTGGGTCCCAAAGTCCCCAAAACAAGCCAGGGAGGCTGCTCAGCCAGAACCACCGTTGGGCTTGGTTTTCCTCCGGTCCATCCCGGAGTGGGGTGAGTGGGATGAGGACCGGCGTGCGCCCGGAGCCCCAGCCGCCCGCGGCGGGCCCCGACCTCACCCTCTGCCGAGCCCGCGTTCCGCTCGTCGGGCTCCTAGGCTCCTCCGCGGCCCCGGAGGCTCCGCTTCGACCTCGCCGGGCCTGTGGGCGAGCGCGCGCGGCGTTCCGGCGTCCCGGGCGCGCGGGTGGCCCGGCCCGCTCCAGGCCTCCACGGCCCGCCGGGCCCTGGGATGTGGCGGCCGCAGTGCCGGAAGGAGGAAGCCCGACCCCAGACGCCGGCTCCGGGAGGCGAGGCCACCGCCCACCGCGGCCCCCGCGCGCCGGCCAGGCTGTGCGCGCCGCCGTCCGCGCGCGCCCCCGCCCGCGTCCGCCCGCGTCCGCGCGCGCTTGGTTCTCCCTCTACCCCCTCCCTCCGCCCCGCCCTGCCCTGCGGGGAGGCGGGTGGCGGCGGCGACCGGGGATCTCCAGGCCCCGGTCCTGCGCTTGGCTGGCGCCTCCCTTGCTGCGGCTGAAATCGCATCCAATCCCCGCTAGAGAGATGGCGTCGCCTGCCTGATCCTTCCTTGGTCTCCATCCAGAAAACACGTTTGCTGTTTGAGAAGGAAAGCAAAAATCTCCAACTTAGAAGAAGGCAACAACTTGATCGATACTTATTATGACCTATTTCAAACTTGGAGAAAACGTAAATCGCATGAATTTGGCACGGCACCCATCCACCTTCTCCCATAGCGTCTTCACTAGTAGGATGCAGTACAGATTGGCCTGAAGGGTCTTATTTAAACCCTCCTTAAAAGAAGCTGTGTGACACAGGATTGATTCCAGCCTTGGCTCAGCTTTCAGGGCTACTTTTTCACCCAAGGCCATTGTTATGTTGTCTTCAGTTAACCTCTGACAGGTTGTTCTTGGGCCCTGGCTTAACTTGGGTCCGGACAATCCCAGGAGCCATCTAGAATACTGTTCGTGTTCCATGCAATGACATGTTGAGCCCAGCTTGGATACCTAGGAAAAACGCATCAGTGTTTCCATCCCAGTGATGTCAGGCATCACTGTTAAAGAATTTCTCTTTTTAACACTATTTAACCATCACGATGTAAAGATAGCAGCATTCACTGTCTTTCTCGTTCCCCACCAACACTCCCTTCCATAAATGTTTATTGAAAACTCTTTTTGGGCACAGCGATGTTTGAACTAAGAGACTATTTTTCTTTGATGATCTGAGTGGACAAGCATTCATGGAAGAAGAGCAATAAAGGAATGTAGATCTTTTAGTAGCCCTTTTCTTTCAAATCTAACCCAACATCCTATGACTACTAGGTAAAACTCCCAGAGTATGTCACTCAGCTTAACAGACCGCCAGCCTCTGCCAAGCCTAAATCGTAAGAGGGTTAGAAGGTGACATCTAAAACATATGTAAGACATTTCTCAGCTATGTTATAGTTTACCTACCTACTGTCTGTAAGCACAAGCCCAGAAAACCACTTAGACACACAGTCATGTATAACAAAGAAAGAAAGGTTTATTACCAGCAATGGGACTGACAAGGCCAATTCTCACAGGGAGAAGAAGCTTCCGTCTTTGTCTGAGATGACTTCTTAGAATCTAGAGGGGCTAGGAGGCAGGGACCTTGGACTTCATCATGGCGGGCTAGGATTTTTGGCAGCTGCCAAAGTAGTAGATAAGGGGCTTGCAGCTGCTCAGACTGAAGGTCACTTTAAGGGAATCTTGTTACCTTTTATGGTTGTAACTAACCCAATGGAGTGTCCTCTCAAGGTAAAGAGGAAGGAGGCCCATTATTTACTGCCTACACCAAATGGGCGTAGTGTTGGTCACTCTGGGAAAGGTGCCTGCCAGGTCATGGGAAAGGAGCATGTTAAACTATGGGAAAGGAGCCTATAAGACTAATGATGTCCCCATCAGTGCATTTATTATGACTTTCTCTTGTTCTCTGGCTCTAACTGTTCTCTCCACAGTACAATGTGCCATTCAGAGAAAACTGAACCCATATTCACATTTGATTCTGAATATTTTCTTGTTTCTTTTAAATCAGAATTGTTATTTTTTGTCTACACATTATTCACCATAAATAGGGTGAAATAGGGACAGTATTAGTTTTAATCCTTAATACAGGAGAACATAATTTTTAAATGTGATCATGGGCCCTTGAGGTTCTTCAAGATTCTTTCAGAGACCCTGCTTTTTTTTTTTTTTTTTTAATAAAATACCAGGCTATTATTTGTAATCTTTACTATTTAGGTATTTGCTCTGACAGTAAAAAGTGATGGTGCATAAAACTAGCAATGAGATGAAATTGGATCAGAAGTCATTTCACTTTTCACCACTGTACACAGTAAAAGCAGACTAACAAGAAGTATTACGGAAATGTCCTCAGTAACAGCCGCAGTGGTTGACGGGAAGTGCATATAAATGTTCCTACTGTATAATAAATGATAGGGTTATCTGGAAGCAATAGGCTTGGTTTGCAACGTGAAACAACTCTTTTTCCTAGAACATTTGTGTTTCTGTGTGTGCATGCAGCACTGCAAATTGAACCCACAATATTATTCTATCATTTTTACTTAAAAACTGTTAGATCCATGTAACTGGGTACTGGGTCTCCACAAAAATGTGTCTAGAACTAATAAATTAGTTCAGAAATATTGCAGGATTCAAGACAAATATGCAAAAATCAATTGTAATTTCTATGCTGATACTCAACTCAAATACAAAATTAGAAAAATGCTTCTACTTATAACAGCATGAAAGGAGTAAAATTTTTAGCAATTTAACAAAACATGCAAAATATATACTCTGGAAACTGCCATTATTTCTGAAAGAATTTGACGAATAGCTATGTAAGTGTAAAGCTATCTCATGCTCATGCATCAACACACTAAAATTTACTCTGTAGAGATGAGCAAATGCATTATCATCTTCATTCAAAATTCCATCTGGCTTCTTGGCACGAACGACCATGAAAATACAAGAGACTTCAGTAGCCAAAACAATGTTGAAAAAGAAGATTGGAGTTTAAGGAGCCTTATTTCTCAATCTTAAAACTTTCTACAAAGCTACAGTAATCAAGACAGTATAGTGCCGAATAAGAAAATCCATACAGATCAAATAGAACAGAATTGGGAATCCAAAATAAATCCTCGTGTTTATGATCAATTTATTTTCAACAAGAGCACTAAGATAATTTTTAAAAAATGGGAATAGTTTTTAAGTAGACTGTCGTGGGACAACTGGATATACATAAGCAAAAGAATAAATTTAGTTATCTCTCTCACACCTTGTACAAAATTGACTCAAGGAAGATCATAGAATATTGGAGCATAGACTCAAAAATCAGAAGACATAGTCATAAAATCTTTGTAACTTAGGGTTAACTTTGTGATTTTTTTTAGTTCTGGCATCCAAAGTACAAACAACATAAGAAAAAAAAACCTGAACTTCATCAAAATATGCAAGGTTTTGTTTCATCTATTTTCTGAGTGCGTGGGTAGCTGGAGCACTCTAAAACCCTGGAAAAAAACACCTTCTAAGTGAGTGTGATGGGGCATGCTCTCTTTTCACATGACTCATTTTTGTACCTTTGATTCTGCAGGGCTGGGGGCTTGCTGGTTTTTTGAGATTCTCAAGTCATCTTTCCTATAGATCTAATAGAAGTTACTTAATAGATTGTGTTGATCTCTTCCTTACCCACAACTTTTTGTGGCCAAACTACAAATTTTCAAGACTTACTTTGTTTAGTTTCTCATGATTGTCCCTATAACTCTAAAAGCAACCAACAATATGCATTTGCAGGCTGAATGCTGTGCTTCCTTGAAATTTCCTCTGCCAATTAAACTAGATGGCCACGTGTGTGTGTGTGTGTGCGCGCGCGCTTGCGTGAGTGCACGTGCACACCGATCATGGGACTGGAACTCAAGGCCTGGGTGCTGTTCCTGAGCTTTTTTTGCTCAAAAATAGTGCTCTACCATTTCAGCCATGGTCCCACTTTCAGGTTTTGGCAGTTAATTGAAGATAATTTTCCAAGTGGCTTTGAATTGAGATCCTCAGAACTCAGCCTCCTGAATAGGTAAATTACAGGTATACTCCATCAGCACCTAGCCAGATTGCCACTATTTAACCCTCCTGCCAAGTTTCAGGGCAAGAACAAAATGTAGACAAGGTCTTTGCTAGAATGTAACACATGTGGTCTATAGTACAAATCCTAAAATTAAAAAAAAAGTCTTCATTTCCATCTAAAAACCTCAACAGCACAGACTTTACTGGCAGCATTCCTATTAGTCTTCTGATCTTTGACTAGGATTCTGTTAAGCTTTGCTTACAGCATTCTAAGTTTTTCTAGCCTACATCTCCAAACTTTCCCAAATCCCTCCCACAAATCAGTTGGACTGGCTTTAAAATCATATGGTCAAATGTAGTCACAGCAATGACTCCTCTCAGCATCAATTTTCTATATTCATTAGCTTCCTATTGCTGTGACAAAATACATGCAAAAAATCAACACAAAGATTGATTGTCCATAGTCACTTGTCTCTGTTTCTGATGGTAGTGGAAATCATCATAGCAAGCACAGTATGGTAGAGCAAGTCTGCTTAGCTGATGGTGCTAGAGAGAGAAGGTGTGTGTGTATTTGTGTGTGTGTGCACGTGAGAGAGAGAGAGAGAGAGAGAGAGAGAGAGAGAGAGAGTAACAGATAGGTGCTGAGAGAGACAGAAAGCAAAAGGATCACAATCTAAGACCAGATCTGAACAAAAACACAAGACCCTACCCAAAATATAACTAAAAGCAAAACAAAACAAGGACTGAGGTATTGGCTCAGGTGGTTGAGTGCTTGCCGAATAAGCACAAAGTCTTGAATTCGAACCCCAGTAACTCAGAAACAAAACAAAAATTCTGTTGAGGGCCTAAGTAGAACAAAGTACAGAGAAATGGTTAGTTCTCTTTCTTCTTGATCTGAGACATCTCTCTTCTCTTACCCTTACACATTGAAGCTCCTGGTTCTTGACCTTTGGGATTGTGGTAAATTAGACCATCAAGTTTCCTGATTCTCTAGCTTGCAACTAGGAGATGGTGGGACTTCTCAGTCTCCATAGTGACATGAGTCAAATCTGAGCCTCTTCATCTCATACACACCCTCCC